GGTTGGAACTAGATGGTCTTTAAGGTCCCTTCCAACCCAAACTATGCTGTGATTCTATCCTATGTTGGTTTTGTATCTGTACCTTTTGGGTTTCTCATAGTGGATCATTAACCTCTTCATCCTTGTGTTGTGGCTTGATATTTTTCTCATAAAAGACAATGTTCTGTTTTCTGAGTTGATTTCATTTTATTGATCACATCTTGGGCTAGGGGTGAGCTGAGATCCATGTAGACATTATCTTTTTAGAAGGAAGTTGAATTAAAACTGCTCTAGCACCTGCTAATGTAGGATGCGACCAGACTTCCTGTTCAAGAGGAAATCCTAATTTACTCTTCCTTGTAAACTGAAGGCTGATCAGCTTACCACATAGTAACCTTTTGACTTGTAAACACTGTGTTCCTTTGGACTGCTTTTAGCCTCTAGAAATTATTTCCCTCGGGCTTGGTGGTAACTTCAACAGTAAACTTTGTGTCAAATATCATGAAAAAGCAGCAACCTTTGTCTGCAGAAGTGACTTTAATGCAGTCAGACATGCCTACAGACTCAAGTAGGTGCTTAAGATGCCTTCAAGTTCTAAGAAGGTGGCTGTATTTTTCTTCGCATTCTTAATCACCAGTGTGAACTTGTTATCTGTTGGGTATGGAAAACAAATTGAGGTATTGTGATTATTTGCTTTTTCATGCAGAGTTTCAACCCTTGAAAATGCTCGTTATATGTGGGTGGGGAGTTGGCTCTGGCTAGGATAGTCATGGTGAATCACTGGCAGTAGTGCCAGCTTTGGCATGGATGGAGGTTTGGGTTGGGGCCAGTAAAGTGAGTTACAGTGCTTTTTTTTTTTATTGTTTATTACCAGCCCCTGAAAATACTTTTTTTTTTTTTGTCCTTGAGGAGGAAGGAAGAGATCAAATTTAGCAGGGCAGTATTTGCTTCCTCTTCCTGCTAAAACAGCGTAAGAAAGCTTCTTCTGTAATGTGTATGTTCTCCAGGCTTTTGACAGCCTTGCTTAGATGAGCGATTGGAGGCCTCTGGACTAGGTACATGGCTGAGGCTCTCCTCAGGGATCCCACAGCTGTAAGGTTTCCGTGAGGAGCAGGTAGTGTGACTAAACTCAAAGTAGTTCTAGAACTTTGCAAGACAACTTTGTTAATACCAAGATCTGCATCCAGAGTCCTTCTGCCCATGTAAATAATAAAAATTTAAATAGTATACTGCCAGCATAACCTGTTCTGTTCCTCTGGGGATTGATAGACCTTACTGAAGTGGTGGAAGTGGATTGATTCACAGGGAACCAAGACTCTTCATTTATACTCTTTTTATCATCTTTTCTCTCACCGCACACCAAAGACATAAGAATTTATTTTCTGTTCTCTTATAGTGTTCAAAGCATATTGATAATAGATGGTGGTGTTAAGTCTAAATAAATACCATTTCCTTTCTAACACTTTTCTCCTTCAGAGTTCTGCTGGCATGTGTGCTCAACCTCCATTCAGTGTGTTTTTATGCATTTCTCTGTTGCTAGTATTGACCTTAAATTCTTCGTAAGAAGTACTGTTAAAATAACAGGCTGAATGTTCTTTTGGTTGGCCCAAAAGCACAAGCTTACCATTTCTTTTTGATTACAGTATGTGTGTGAAACATATGACTAAAAAAAACCCACAAAACATTAGCCTATGACTTTTTTTTACAGTTCAGACTTTAACACTTCTCCTGTAGCATGTATGGTTGCTTGTGTTAGCTGAATTCTGGTGCAGATAACAGATACTGGTTTCTGAAGAAATCTTGTGACAAAACTTCAGCTGTTTAAAACAAATGCATTATTAGTGGCTTTTGTTTGAATTCTGTCTCCTCATTTCTCCAAAGAGTGCCCTTTTCATAATGTCACTAGAGAACACTGAGGGTATAATAGAATTAATCAGTAAAAAGGGTTCTCATGAAAAACTGAGTCCTGAGGAAATGGACAAGGCAGCTGCATCCATCGCTGAGTGCCCTGGTCTTGTTTCAAGACTGTAGTGCTCCAGAACAAACTAGCTAATATCTTGAAAGGTCTCTTCCTAGAGAAAAAAAGCTGTTGTGCTTGATGCAGCAAGCCAGCAGTCTCCTTTAGAAAGTAATTTCAGATTTTTCTTACAACAATCACAATTTTTATCCTAGTGAGATGATCCTGTGAAGATGGGACTACTTGTGAAAGAATAATTTATGTACAGATATGATAACTCCTGGTGCTTGGTGGTGTTTGTTGCCATGGTGTATAATACAGTTGAGCAAGATAAGTTCCAGTAAGGATGTTCAACAGGACTAGTATGTTCTTTCTAAACATGAGAAAAAGTTTTGTTATCTGTTGCACATTGAACAGTTGACCTTGGTCTTGAGAATGGTAAGTGTAGTGTTCTGAATACCTGTAATGCTGATAAATTAAGCATCATGTTGCTAACTTTTAACATGTGAACTTACATCTTAGGTGTCATTATGGTTGGCAAGGACAGTTCTGTGATGAGTGTGTCCGCTACCCAGGCTGTGCTCATGGGAGCTGTAATGAACCATGGCAGTGTAATTGTGAAACCAACTGGGGTGGCCTGCTCTGTAATAAAGGTACTTAACATTAATGTTCAGGAAAAATAAGTAAAGTTGCATGATTAACTGATAACTCATTAACCTTTTTTTTTTACTACTAGTGTACAACTAGCTGGGTATTTCTGTGCCCAATTCTTTTATGGCAGATGGTACCTATATATAGGAAATTTAAGACAAAGGCTTGGAATGGTCTCAACTGTTCTAACTCATGCAGTTTCCTCTTGATCATCCTTCCCTGCTCTGTGGATAGTAATGAGATGACAGGCTAGCTAATGGAATATGGGGATGATGTGGGTGAATGGTGTTCAAACTAGAAAGGCGTCTGTATGTCTGACTAGGGGTTGAAATGGTGAGATGTGTTCTCTGTTGATTGGTGTTTTTCTTTATCTAGATCTGAATTACTGTGGAAATCACCATCCCTGCCTGAATGGTGGAACCTGCATGAATACTGAACCAGACGAGTATCGCTGTGCTTGCCCAGATGGCTACTCTGGAAAGAACTGCGAAATTGGTACTCCTGGATATTCTTCAGAAATCTGAAACTTTTAGACGTGGCTATGTTCTAGTTAGCCAGGTGGCATTTATATGCTCACTCTTGTGTATCTTATGTAGAGTGGAGAGGCTGTTCTCTCCTTTCAAAAACTAGCTTGGTTTGAGAGAAGTGTGTAAAACCGGTGGGGTGCAACTTGTTACTTTGTGACAGTGGGGGTATGCCAGTGCCGTTTTTCCTGTCTAGTGCTTTAAACTGGCTATTCAACAAACCACTGAAGGCAACAGAAACACTGCAAGAGTTTCCTTTGGATTTGGATAAGAGAGATATGTGTCTGTCCAACACTAACTGCTTCCTATCTCAGCCATACCTCAGAGATAGTGTATTGCTTTCTTCATGTATAGCTGTGTATGTGTTACACAAAGTCCAAAACTTTCATGTACTCTAGAGACTATTTTGGTACTTGGAGACTTTTCCTGACTGATCTGTCTCTGGAGATAAAGGGGCAAGTGCACAATTTCCTTTTCTTTTTTTTTCGCTATATTGCTTAAGATTTAAGGTTTGGAGAAAAAGAAAAAGTTTCAATTGAACTTTTTCACCTCTAGTGTTCAGCTAGATGGCCTACAGTGACTTTATTTGCCATAATGGATGGATAGTTAAATCCTTTTTTTATGTGATATTCCCAGACTTCTCACTTTGAATTTTGCTATTCCTTGATATAAATGTAGATGGAAAGAACTTATCTTTTTTCTTAAGTTAACTAGCCTTAAGTTTGCTAAACTATTATCAGCAGAAGGTTTTCACATTTATCAGGATGTAGATCTTTGGACTTCTGTAAGGTGATATGTGGTATTGAGACTATAGACAAAACTTCACATCACATTCTACCAGCTGCAGCAAAATTCAAGTATTTTGTAAAGTGGATGAAATCTTGTCTTAACTTGCTCTGAAAGTTGTGGGGAAGCATCCTCCAGATGAAGCAGCAGTGGTAAAGCAAGCCATACATTTGAATTCTACACTGATTATTAGCAGTAGATTGGTGTATAAGCTGCTTTAGGTACTAGTGCCTAACATCCTCGACAATATAAACTCAGTTTGAAAGCTAGATAACAAATCTGAAAGATTCCAAAATATAAGTGCTCGCAACAATTAGAGAGTTCTACCTAGCCAACGGGATTTCTTCTTTCTTTCCCAAAGATTCCTTGGCTTCTGAGAGGGAAAATATCAAAAGTGATGGCACACAATTTGTTCCTCCTCAGCTAGATTGTTGATTAGTGCAGCCCCTGCAAACATTACAGCCCTACATGGAGTGACAACAAGCAGTGCTGTCTGTAATTGCAAGTAGCTCTATACTTTGCTGTTTCCAAGGAGCAGCATTAGAATGAAGCTAAACAGACCTTTGATACTTAAACTACTACTACTGTTCCGACATCTGCATACAGCTTATCTGTTTTGTCTCACTGAAGGAAAAAAAAATAAAAGTAGTGGAGTGTTCCAGAGATGGAAGCGTGTGGCTGGAAGCAGTAGGTTAATAAGGAACTTCTTTAGCTCTTGGGGTATTGAGATGAGTGACTTTGCCTTCAGTCTTTCTAGTCAGTAGATATGAAGAATGATGCACCTTTTAGTAAAATCCTGCTTCAGTCTCCTACTGGGAATCTTAGTCTCTGCAGCTGGAAGAGGGGGGCTGCAGACTTCTGTACAGGCACCTCCCACCCTTTTGGTCATTTTAGTTGAAACACAGTTTTCTAACCATGTAAGTTCTCCTTCATTGATACTGGAATAGTATTTAGCAGGAATTTCTTTTCCTCTTTCTTCTCAGCGGAGCATGCTTGTGTATCTAATCCCTGTGCTAATGGTGGAATTTGTCATGAAATTTCATCAGGCTTCAAGTGTCATTGCCCATCAGGGTGGAGTGGACCAACATGTGCTATTGGTGGGTATTCCATTACTGATGACTGACCCATTGGGTTGGAAGGGTTGATACAGCTTATTTGGTAATCATGCTCTGTGGGTGTGGAATTTGGTGGCAGTCTCTTACCTTACCTGTCTTAGCGGCTCCCAATGCATAGCTGTTGAAAAGATTAATGGTGCTGCGCAGTCAGCAGCATCTATTTGGTGCAGTCTACAGGTTATCAAAAGCATAGGTGGACCATATATGAAGAAATGCCCTGTTGCCAAAGCTTGTAGGACAATTTGTGTTGTTAACCAGTGTAAGGCAAAATACGGAATGGACTTATTTTAAGAAATATAAACATGAGCATGAAAGGTTCTCCTCTTTAAGTAGTAGAAGAGTAGACAACTGATGTAAGAATTTAAGCATATGGTTTGGAAGACAGGGAAGTGGTTGAGATGCATTATGGACCTCTGCAACTGGTTTGCATGTTGTCTGTGATTTAGAACACAGGTGTGTTATCTGTTTTTCAATGACTACTATCCTCAAAATAAATACTGGCTAAGCTTGTGTCATGATCTAGGAACATGACTTTCAGCGAATGTGTTAATTGCTGGCAGATTAACTGAATCATCTTCCTGTTTGCAGATAGAGGAACTCTGAAATTTTCTATCTTAAAGATGTGAGAAAAGCCTAATTAAAGTTAGGTTAGAAATGTTAGTCTGTTGCTAAGCATGTTTGTATGTTCTCCCTCTTCATCTCAAAATACCTTAAAACACAAACAAAAAACCATACATGTTAAGCCAAATTTCAAACTGTGTAATGAAAGGCACGCTTTGACTTTGCAGATATTGACGAATGTGCATCTAACCCTTGTGCTCAAGGAGGGACCTGTATTGATGGTGTTAATGCATTTGAGTGTATATGTCCACAACAGTGGATTGGAGCAACATGTCAGCTTGGTAAGTAAATTGCCTGCTAAAGTTTTGAAGACCACTGGAGGTTATTTCTAAATAACTCTGTGTGTGTTCCTCATGATCTTTATTGGGGTGTATTGCTATCGGTATCTTAGCTTCTCTTTAGTAGATCTTAACGCCCGAAGTTTCACGTGAACCTGTAACTACTTTAGCCCCAACTGAAGCTTACTAGAATGCCCGATAACTTCTGTTTCAAAGTACAGCATTGGTGATGGTAGCTCCTTCATGGTGGCAGAACAGTGATTATGAGCTTACAGAGGCAAGGAAGGGATTTGCCCTGACTAACATATTACCTTTTTGAGTTTTGGCAAAGGGAAAAAATAAGATAACATGCATGTGCTACTACAGACAAGTGTGCATTAAAAACCTGCGGTATGCAAATGGTTTTAGTGCCCTAGCAATGTGTAAGACGAGCTTCTGATGCTTGGATTGCATGGAAACTTTGCTTGGTGCTGTGGTAATCTGTTTCTGGGTTGTTCTTTATTCTCTTCTTTCTTTTATCTTCTTTCACAGATGCTAATGAGTGTGAGGGGAAACCCTGTGTTAATGCTTACTCTTGCAAAAATCTCATTGGTGGATATTACTGTGACTGCATTCCAGGATGGACAGGAGTAAATTGTCACATCAGTTAGTATTTCTTTAGTATATATGTTGACCATAGGATGCTTTATTCTTCAAAAAAAGGTTGTACAAGAAAAAAATACCTGTTGTCAGGATTTTCCTAACTTCCAGCAATATAAACTGAAAATACTGTTTGAAAGTTTAGAGATAGTGTTGTTAAAATGAGCATAGATATACACTTACCTAACTCTAAATTTCTCCCTACTCCCTCATCCCTGACTCTGAATATCATATACTGATTCAATTTAAAATACTTTTTAACTATAAATGTTAGATATGAAATTAGCTGATAGCATTTGATTTCATTTCTATTACAGTGTAATAGAAATATGTAATGTCATTTTCTATTACATCTTCTTTAAAATACGAATCTCCTAAGACATCAAGCATCCTTGCTTTCCATTGAAACATCTAGAAAAATCCTTTCTGAAGATAATGTTCTGCATTTTTGTGCTAGATCTGTACTTTACAGTTTTTAGTCTTCCTGTATAAATTCTAATGCCTTGCATACTTTATCCCTAGATATTAATGACTGTCATGGACAATGTCAACATGGAGGGACTTGTAAGGTAACTCTTGTTTATTACATGCCATGTTGAAAATAAATCTTGTTCTGACTAGTTAGGAATTCTCTGGTTTGATTGCAGGTTGGTTAAATGAGGTTAAATGTTCAAAGCATAGTGTTGCTCTTGCAGTGTTTCACAAAATAATTTTGAGGTACTATTGCAGTTCATAAATACAGAACAGAATTAAAGTTAATTCTTGTGTGCAAGTTTTATCAATAAATGAATCTCTCTATTTTTTTTCCCCCCTCTGAAGGATGGAGTGAATGGTTACCATTGCTTATGCCCTCGTGGTTTCACAGGAAAGAACTGTGAGACAGAAACAAATGAGTGTGAAAGCAATCCATGCCAAAATGGAGGCCGTTGCAAAGACCTGGTGAATGGATTCAGTTGCCTGTGTTCACAGGGCTTCTCAGGAGTCTTGTGTGAGGTAAGGGCAGTGGTGACATTACTGTGATCTTTCTCACGGATGGAATTCTTGAAAGAAATATATCTGTGTTTAAATGGGAGTAACCCAAGGCTAAGGCGTAACTGACTAACGTAGCTGTTACTTGACACTCTGAATAAGCAAATTTGTTGTTCAGAGCTGTCATAGTAGCTGTAACACTTGGATATTCAGCCTGATAAAATGCAAGTTGTGGCACATAGATGTTGGGTCTTTTAAATGTTTTAAGGATGCAAGTGTTCCTTAAGCTTGACGTGTTTTCTTTTGCAATTTTCAGGACCTGTGTCTTGTTACACTAAAATGTTTTAGGTCTTTATCCGAATAACTCTGAAGTACATAACTGAATTCACCTTTCAAGTGATCCTACTGCTGTTGGTAGGAGTATCTCCATAATTAAAGGCAGGCAGATACGCAAGTATTGGCACTCAGAACTTTGTTTGAGGTTGTTTTAGGAACGTGTAGTTCTAGTGCTTAAATAAGGATTCATATCTGAAATACTGAAATGCTGGTAATAATTCATAAAGTACTTAATTATCATGAAGGCCTACCTCTTTCTAGGGAAGGCATTAGACTTTGCAATATAAAAATATATTGCCCAAGTATGTACTTTCTGGCTTTCGCAGACAGCCAGATTCATGTAAGTGTTATGGTTATTAGCAAGGCTGTGTCAACTGGAGGCATTGGATTAGAATGTGGTTGGATTTCCTCCCAGATTTTTTCATTAAGGACATTGGAGTGATCTCTCTTAAATGCTGAAGTAATTTTATTCTGTATTATTTGCATTGTTAAAGAAACAATACCTTCCTTTTAGTCAAAATTAGAAAGGGTTGCAGATACTGACCAGTTTAATAAAGCTGGTTCAGTACTTAATGGCTTGTGTACAATTTCTACCTAAGGATCATAGCTTGAGTGCTCTGCTCTTCCGTGATTCATCCCATACTGTGTAATTTAAGTTTTAGCAAATCTGTTTGAATAATAGGGGGCAGTTGGCTGCTTGCCTTGTGTGTTGCAGGAAATATCTACCATTGATTCCAGATGCTAAAGTACCAGCTACTGAACTTGCATTGGGAAGGGGAAATTTACACTAATGGAAGGAAACAAATGGAGACATCTGATAGAGGAGATCTGAGAATCTCTCAGACCTTAGTTATTTTTTTGTGTTTTGCTTTGAATGTTCCCTATGAGAGCACAAAATACCTTGCTGAAAATCTCTCTATTGCATCTGGAATTGTACATGCTCCTCTGAATTAAATACTTAATGCCAATTTGTGCTCCTTCTGTTTTGGTCAGCTTTGAGTTTTTTCTCATACTTAACTACAGAACTACTAAAAATAGTGACCAAAATCACTATCAGACTTAGCTTTCTCAACCTTACAGATAGAAAATTATCATTCTCGCAAGAGATCTGAGAAGGAAAAATTCACTTGAGGGGAGGAAAGCAATCCTTGAGAATAACAATTTGGAAGACAGATACAATATTCCCTCTGGGGCCACTTGGGATTTTGAGGCCAATTTACAGCATCACTGATCAGTGAACTTGTGTGTGAGTCTCAGATGAAGAAGCAGCACAATTGCTTTGCTACAGCCATTTGCCTGTGTTAAGGGTTATATTATGAAAGCTAGCTTTAAATCTTGCTTCTGAAGTGTAAAATATAGGCAGTGTTCAAAATATGCCTAGTATTTCTGTGTGTAAATTGTCACAGTGATAGTCTTTGTAGGAATAAGGTCCTGAGCATCTTAACTAGAGCTACTTTGAGCAAAAAAACTTCTAGAAGTGCCTTCCAAGCTATGAGGTTCTATAATAAATTCTGTGTTGTTGAAATGGGAAGAGAAGTTGCTCTAGAAAAGATGTGTGTTGTTTTTTTTAACGGTTCTCCATATTTAAAGTGTCTTGCAGACACAAAGTTGACAAAGGCACCTGGTATTAACCTGCATTATAGCACTTAATATTTGGGTATGAAGGACAGAAGTGACTTACAATGATCCAGAACAGTCATAATAAGATGTCTCTTAATGGCTTGTTCTTTGCTAACTAAGTTACAGCAAACGTGCTTGTTCAGCCTCCTGCAAAGGGCTGTCTTTTTAGCAGTATCAGAAATGCTTTGTGTTAGGATTGACTAAAGCAATCTGAAGCTTCTCTCTGTGTTGCAGGATGGGATGTGATATATATGATTCATAAACCTTAAAACTTGAGCTTTGTTGTGAATTAGCTTCATCTGTGTGTCTGGCAACACAGATAATGCTGCTTACTCCTGGGAAATGACGCAGCTGATACTAACTATGCTCTCTTACAGATGGATATTGATTTCTGTGAACCTAACCCTTGCCAGAATGGGGCTAAATGCTATGATCTGGGAGGAGATTATTACTGTGCCTGCCCTGATGACTATGATGGAAAGAATTGTTCTCATCTCAAGGACCACTGCAAGAACAATTCTTGTAAAGGTACATAATGTTGTACAGAAACTTGTCTTAATATGTTGGTGGCACATGAAAAAAGGAAAACCATATTTCTGGAAATATACCATAATGCAGTAACATTTTTCTTGTACTTATTTGGACTTTGTGAAATAGTGAAGTAGTGAGATGCAATGCTTGTAACAGTCCTCATTTATAAAGAAGTAGAGGGTGACTTACAGTTAACCTAACTTTTAAATTGTCCATAGTCTTTATTTTTGGGTTACTTTTTAAAAACTAAAATCTGGTGATGCAGATTAATAGTCTGATGACATGCTTCTTGTTCTTAGTAATAGACAGCTGTACAATAGAAGTCTTCACTAATGCCACCCAAGAAGGAATCCGTTTCATTTCATCCAACGTTTGTGGGCCTCATGGACGGTGTATTAGCCAGCCAGGAGGGAATTTTACTTGTGCCTGTGAAAGAGGTTTTACTGGAATATACTGTCATGAAAGTAAGTAGGAGTTTTGTCTAAATTTTTTTGTCTCTGAAACTTCCTTAAAGTTTTTGTTAACAAGCTTTACAACTTTATTAAAATCTTAATGCTTTAAGTTGCATAAAGCATTGTTTCAGATGTACTGCTTGAAATACAGTTTCTTCTAGTAACAATTGTCTCTTAGTGGTTCATACTTCCTCTGTGAAAGAAAAGTGGGTTTAGTCCAACTTCAACATGAGTGTGTCTGCACCTGCTACTCTAATGTACAGTTTTACAAGAAGCCATGGATTTCTCCATCATGGGGATGACTAAGGAGGGACAGACACATTAGCAGTACAGCTTAATAGCATGTGTATTGCTGTTCCAGGTATTTTTTGAACGCCTGGATATTTTTGCCAGGTAAACTTAATGCTCTGGTTCGACTTGCTATGTGAGAGAGAATACATCTAGAAACGTTACCAGTCATGAAAACAGATGTTTGAGCTGTTCTTACATATGTACAAGGAGAATATAACTTCAGGCTGCTTTTCCTGGAGACCCAAGTATAAATCACTCCTCTAGGTGAGCAAAGATCAAGTGTGAGCAATAATTGTTGACTTTCTGTCATAGATATCAATGATTGTCTTGGGAAACCTTGCAAGAATGGGGGGACATGCATCGATGAAGTGGATTCATTTAGATGTTTCTGCTCAAGTGGCTGGGAAGGAGAATTGTGTGACACAAGTGAGTACTGCTAAGCATGGCAGGGTCAACTACAGTACAGCTTTGCTGTAACACTTAGGGATGGTTGGTACATGGTGAATAATAAAAATGGGTTAGTTTCTCTGTTCGATAATGACACTCTACCCAGTGGTGTTTGCAAAGGTATTTTCAGGAAGACTTTTGGGTAGCAGCTTTTGAAGTCTCAGTTCCTTTAATAGGACAGTAATTTGATTCTTTGGTATAGCAGAGGATATATATGAGGAGAGTACTCTTTTTTTTTTTTTTTCTTTAGGAGAGAAGAAAGTGAATATGCTTTGTTGGAGGGTCTACTCATTATATTGCATTTATTGCTATACACATGCACTTCTTACTACTTGCTGCACATAGAAGTTTGTCCCTTACTCAGTCTACTCATACGCAGTCATTTCCAAACTTGAAAAGCTTTTTAGCTTTAAGCCAGTGTAAGCTATAATGTGCTTCCACCTTGCTGAAGGAAGTTATAAATTCAATATCCATTCCTCTAGCAAGCTGAAGCCTGAATTTTTACTCCACGAATATCATGAGTCAGTGTCATATTCTGGGTTCAGTGGAAGTGGGCCTTTACTTTTGCTGCTCTGGCTTGAGACATATTGGGGCTTAGCTAATGAAGTGTACTAAGCCAGTTCATGGTTAAGGTACCTCAGAGGAAATGGCAGTTGGCTCTTTTTCTACTCTGAATGAAGCTCCTTCTAAAGTGTGGTGGCAAGGACTTGCTGAGGCTTACTACAGGACATGCGCTAACTAAGATGTGAAATAAAGACTTGAAGATTTTGGCAGCTGTCACTGTCGAGACCTTTTTTTGTTTGGTCTGGAATAATTGTTCTACCTATTGAAACATTTGTCTCAAGTGAAGTTTTCTCTAAAATTAATGTTCAGTGTGGGTATACACTCACACATAACTCTGTGCATCTGTATACTTACACCCATCTAATGGCTTTAACTCTCTGTATTTTGAGACATAAAGCAGGAGAGAGGGAGCCTTAACTGTCTTGTGGATGGCCTTTGTTGGGGCTCCTTTTCAACACATTGTGGTCCCTACTAGAAAGTTTTCTCTGAAGTTCAGAATATAGCTGTTTACTGGAAAAAACTTCTTTGGTTCTCTATGAAGAGGAAAAAGTATCATTCTCTATGGTTTCTTAGGTTGTCAGTAAATCCTTCATAATTCATGTTTTTCTGTATGAAATCAGAGTTTTTTCCTTGCTTATATAAAGATAGCCCTGTAATAATTGGGAAAGCTGTCTTCCTAAATAGTAAACAGTTTATTTCCTTTATAAAGTACTATTTTATAGTTTCTCATGGCCTTGGCTAAGCTAGATCATCTGATTTTAATATTTTTTCTAGATTTCAATGACTGTTCTCCTAACCCATGTCACAATGGTGGCCGATGCATTGATTTGGTAAATGACTTCTATTGTGAGTGTAAGAATGACTGGAAAGGCAAAACTTGCCATTCACGTAAGTGTTCTTTACTTTGATCTTTAGTTTACCCAAAGACTTGTTTTCTTTCTTCTGGTGAGATTAGAGTTCCTGAAATTTAAAATAAAACAATTGCAATGAAATAATAGGCATATTTTCATTACCTCTTCCAGTTTCCCAGCCACAAAGTAGAACACTTTAAAATGTATTCCTTTATGTAGTGAAAATAGTGTTGTAAGAGATGGCCTTTAGATTCCACTCTTTTGGTTGTTTCCTCTAATACAGCAAGTGGAACTATGTGTTTCTGGTACTGTTGTGTTTAAATATGAAGTATCTTTAAAAGTTTATTTTATGACTAAGAAGTACCTGGTCTTAAAATTCAGCAAGACCAATGGAAATTAAAGCTCTTATTGTGATGTATAGGTGAATACCAGTGTGATGCAAATACTTGTAGCAATGGTGGAACATGCTATGATGATGGAGATACATTCCGCTGTTCATGTCCTCCAGAATGGATCGGAAGTACTTGCAACACTGGTAAGCTTTTTGACTTGTCTACAGACTGTAGAGAAGTGTTTAAATAATACTTTTTATTAAACAGACACACTGTTCTTCTAGCTGGCTGGTTTGAAGCTGTTCCAGTTCACTGGTGATGGAACTTTACAGTAATTTCTTCCACTCACCTGGTATGATACTGCTTTTTAGGAAGCTGTTCTCCAGAGGCTGCTCACATGGTCTTTTAACATAGCTTCTCCTGAGCAGATCTGGAACACCTGGACTTGTGTCTTGAGTTCTCTATTAGTCTTTAGAGACCCTGTGTAAAGGTTTCTTTGGGAACTTGGTCACTCACTTGCTGGAAGGTTCATAATGCTTGTGATCAAAAGGCGTATGAGCAGACATACTCAGGAGAAATGAAGTGGTTCTTCCTAGGGGGTTTGCAGGGTTAGTGCCTGCTGTAGGGAACTACCCTTGTTCATTTTGGGGACTGAATGTGGTCTCCATCGCACTACACTTCTCTGGATATGAAGTGTCTGTTAGGATGAAGAAGTTGGATGAAGGTAATTTAATGTATTTTTTCTACTTTATAGATACAATTGCAGTATGTAATCAAAATCTGAACTTTAGATACTAGTATCTTATTATGAAGTATACCTCGTGACCTGGATAACTCACTGCTGGAGTAGGAATTTAGCAGTAATTAAATGATGCTTATGCAGATGGGGAAAAAAATAGATATCTCTTATAAAACTTCATGGTACAATCAAATGAATTGGGATGATGGTGAAGGTAGATGAGAGTTTATCATGTGATGTAACTACTTTGAGTCTTGACCTTGAAGTCTTGCACAGTTGGCTTAAGTGCTATTGAGGATTGATATTGAGAGATCCAGATGATACTTTCTGTGCTAAATAGGGACCTTTTTTTTTTTTCAAAGCTAAAAACAGCAGCTGTATTCCAAACCCTTGCATGAATGGTGGAACATGCGTTGGCAGTGGAGATTCCTTTTCTTGCATCTGCAAAGAAGGATGGGAGGGACGTACGTGCACACAAAGTAAGGTTTTTCTCCTTTCTGCCCCTACATTCCCATGGGTTATAAGGAGTGTCTGGCACAGAGCTGTTAACTGAAACAAAGTTTATAGAGTTCATGTGCCAAAAGATCTGAATTGTTCAGGGTGGGAGGTAGGTAAAGGTGGTGATGGTCAAGTAATGAATGAAAGGAACTTGTCACACTTCTTTTTGCACCAAGTCTCTGCCAAAACAAGACTTTCAACCTTCTACAGAAATTTGATTCTGGGAACATGTGCAGATAAAAAAATCCATGCAGAAATACTAATTTTAATAATGAAAAGTGTGTGAAAAAGCAGGCAGTAAAGTGTATTCCATCTTTTTCTCTGAGGATTAAGTAGTTAACTACTTTAACATATCAATACAATGAGTTGGTTAGGTGGAGGCCAAAGTTGGCCTGCAACTTTGTTGGTTATTTTCCAAAGCATAACATGCTGGGGGGGAATAAATCTAAACTTGAGCTCTGATTTTACTCTAAAACTACTGGGAGATTACTGTTACATTGTTGTATGCCCTAATTAGCTGTTTTAAAGCTGACAGTGCTAGTGTAAATACTAACAAATAATTTGGATCCATTTATATTGGGAAAGACTTAAGAAATCTGGCTAGTTGCTCATACACATGGGAAGTACCAAAGCAGTGTAATCATTTAGAAAGTGTTGAGCCTGGCTGAATTATCCACTGCCAGTGCAACTGATACCCTCTTATTTCTATTAGGTTGCCATCATGTTGCCTGTCAGTCTTTGATATATCAAAATGCTTTGAAGTTGTTAAATTTTTGTTTGTTACCTTAAATTTTATGCAGAGGCTATTTCATTGGTCTGTTAGGTCTAATTGTGAAATTTCTTTGCAAGTGTGGAAGAAAATGTTCAATTCTGTATTGTTTTTCTTTCCTTATCAAATACAGTGTGTCTTGAACTATAGTATTATACATTAGAAAATAAATATGCCCCTAGTTACACTAGTCTCTGGGTTTTTTTTTATAGATACCAATGACTGCAACCCTCATCCATGGTAAGTATGCAAACTGCATTTCTGTACTTGTTGTGAAAATAAAAGTGAGCGCAGTAGATAAGGATTTTTATTCCAATTAGAACTAATTCTACCGAAAATAAGTGAAGTCAACCTCTAAAAATCTTAAAACATTTTTTTTGCCATGCCTTATCTATTGCTTGATAGTAACAAAGACCACAAAACGCTCCTGAGTTGATCCATATTTGACATATACATATTTTAGTGTAATCTTTGTGCCAGTAAATTACGGTGGTATGAAGTGAATCAGACTTGATAACATTTGAAGCACTCCCAGTTGAGTGTTAGAATAAAAAATGGGAAATCAAAACCTGTTAATTTACAGTAAATAATTTCAGATAATATAAAAAGGTCCTGTTAAATCAAATACTGTGTATAAGTGTGTTTTAAAAATAATTTTTTTGAAGATACAGAGGGGATATTTAAAATTACAGAGGTTGATATTTATGACTGAAGGGAAAAAACACTGATATGGGGATGAAGCAAACACATCTACCTTCTTTCTCTGTGGTACATTCTGATGCAATAAGCTGTACTTATGTATTAAAAAAACCAATCTTGCAAAAGCTCAGACTTTTTCTGTACTCATTTACAGTGCTGTTTTATCTCCTTGAGCTCTGATACACCTCCTCACGCACACACACCACTGTAGGGTGTTCCTGTTTCAATAGGTGACTTAGTAAGCAATATTGTCTAACATGATTCTTTCTCTCTTGATGAGAGTAGATCATCCCCCTAAACAGCAGCAGCAGGTTTAATTAACAAAGCTTTAATTAGAGACCAATGAAACAATGTAGAAGTCTTAAGTAGACTTATATTATGAATTAGTGGGGACTTTTTAATTCTGCATTGTTGAATAGTGAGAAAGTAATGTGAATAGGGTTAATAGAAATTTGCATTTGAACATGCTCCATGAGACTTAGGGGATTTGCTCATCTCTAGACTAGTGAATCTATCCTGAGAATGCTTGGTTTGCTGATAGTGTTTTATTTTTACAGTTACAATGGAGGCATCTGTGTTGATGGTGTGAATTGGTTTCGCTGTGAATGCGCTCCTGGGTTTGCTGGTCCTGACTGCAGAATTAGTAAGTACCAGTTCTGGCACAAATCGGAATGCCCTGTGACCCTTTTTGCATTAGGTTAGCTGAATTCTGAATAAAGAAGCAGGAGCCACCTGTCAGTCAGCCAGGTACTGTTACCTTGTAAATAATGGCAGCTTATGTTACCATCTTCATTAAATGGAACTGAAATGAATTGGCTTAAATTATGCTCAAACTTGGTTGCTGGATTTCACCAGACATTTCTGAAGGTTCTGGGGTGCTGGCTTCTTCATAGCTTAAGTTTTTAAGTATTTTTCTTGATAAGCAACTTGTCATTAAAGATGATGTGTAGCACTTGTGTTCCACTTAACATTAGAAACTCAAATCCACTGGGACATCATAATGAAAACAAAACCATCAGGAGTGTAGTGCTGGCACGTGAATAACAGATATACGGTAGTTTTTCGAAGCTATTAAAAAACCCTCTCTTACACTGCAGTTATCCTGAGGGATAGAAACTGTAAAGAATGGGAAACAAAAGACTCTAAAACCTCAATGAAGTGTTGTGGAAGAGTGTTTTGGTGGTGGTTGTTTTTTGGAGTGGGGGTATGGAATATTACCATTTTAACTTGAATGTGGCAGATATCTTTTACCTCTTCGGACAGTCAGGCTTTTGTATTCCATACCCTCAAGGCTATGTTGGGCTTGGTCCTTCCACTCTGTCAGTATGGTGGTGTGCTTTCAAGCTGAGATTTCATCCTCATTCTGGCAAATAGTAAATGAGCCAACACCTCCAGTTGGAGGGTGACTGTAGGACTTGGGGTAGCATCAGCCTAGTGATCTCTGGATATAGAACCAGGGATGGTAGATAATCCTGTATCTAGATCCAGACATGCAGTGAAGGATGTTGGATTCTCCTTTTCCAGACAAGAAATCAGGGGTACTATTTGTTGTCAAAGACAAATACTTTGCATTTTAATGGAGCTGCACACATTTTTTTTTTTTCTTGTTAAGACTGATATAGACAGAAGGAGTAGCTCTGACAAAAATGCCTTTTATAGCTGATAACAGAAACAGAGTTAACAGTCACTTTTTTCAGCATACAGGGTCTGGACAATCTTAAACCAACATAGCTTGAAGAGAGGAGGGAAAAATAGTTAAACCCTGTAGTTGTTTAGATACTTCTGTATTTGCACAAAGCATCTTGGAGCACTTCTGAAGGAAACTAGAATAGAAGCAAAAGGCCTTCTGCATCCATTTGGTATTTTCTGTTGTCTACATGGGTAACAGTCTCACTGCTACCATTTATCACAATCACTTTCTAAGTCTGGTCCTTTAAACTGAAAAGATGAGCTGATACTGTGCATCATCCAAGAATTGGTGTTTAAAAAGTTTTTTCTGAGGTGTTGGAGTGGGGGTTCATTTTCAGTGGAAAGAAACCTTTCGAAAGAGGAGGGTTATGGTTGAAAATGAAGCAGTTGGTACCTGTGGCTCACAGTTTCACAGGTTGGTTTGTTGCCTTTGGTAGACTGTTGCATAAATTAGTATTGGTCACTAATTAGTGACCCGGGATAGCAAATAATGCACTGCTGTGCATCTGAATGGTCTATGCTTCCATAGTCCATTCAGATGGACTGGTGGACGAAAAGCTGGACATGAGCCAGCACTGAGTGCTGGCAGCCCAGAAAACCAACCATATCTGGAGAAGTGTGGCAGCAGGTTGAGGGAGGGGATTCTCCCCCTCTACTCTGCTGTTAGACCCCACCTGGAGTGCTGCGTCCAGCTGTGGAGCCCTCAGCATAAGAAGGATATAGGCCAGTTGGAGCGAGTCCAGAGGAGGCCACGAAGATGATCAGAGGGCTGGAACACCTCTCCTATGATGAAAGGCTGCAAGAATTGGGCTTGTTCAGCCTGGAGAAGAGGAGGCTCCAAGGAGACCTCATTGCAGCCTTCCAGTGCCTGAAGGGGCTACAAGGAAGCTGGAGGGGACTTTTTACAAGGACCTGTAGTGAAAGGACAAGGGGTAACTGGTTTAAATTGAAATCAGGGAGGTTTAGATTAGGTATCAGGAAGAAATTCTTCCCGGAGAGGGTGGTGAGGCACAGGAACAGGTTGCCCAGAGAAGCTGTGGATGCCCCATCCCTGGAAGTGTTCAAGGCCAGGCTGGATGAGGCTTTGAGCAACCTGGTCTAGTGGAAGGTGCCCCTGCCCATGGCAAGGGGTTTGGAACTAGATGGTCTTTAAGGTCCCTTCCAACCCAAACCACCCTGAGATTCTATTATTCCCTGCCTCCTTCACTAGATTTCTATGACCAAGCCCCTGAGTCTATGAAGGTGGTTGTTTATAAGAGCCTTTTGTGCTATGTATGTACTAAACTAACCTACTCAGTATTCAAGGTTGTTATAACAGATATTTGATGTTCCTTTTCTTAAACTAAGCTATTACTTTTTTCTTCTGTATGGTAAACTGTGTTGCAGTAAGTCATGTTTTTGAGCATTGTTGAGCCAATTCATTGTTCAACTCTTGCACGGTGATAACTTCCTGAAAGCATGTGCTTTTCTAGGAAGCTGAAATATTGGAGCTTAATGCCAGAACAGGATGTGGGACTTGAGTTCAGTAGCTGAATGTGGAGAAGACATTAGCACCTTCAGCTGTCCAACACCTCTGCTCTGTAAGATGAGTCAGCATGTGACTGCTGCTTTGATCACCAGAACTTTGATTTAGGGTTGTAATAATCTGTTAGACCGTACTGATGGAAAGGTAGAACTATCTGATTAGGAGACTAATTCTCAAGCCAAGCTGTCCTTTGCTTGTTAGGAAAGCAAGTACTGTCAAGTTACATCTCAGTAAATGTCTATTTACAAAGTTCTATGTCCTTGCCATTGAATTTTACCTGTTTTCTGTCTAGATATTGATGAATGCCAGTCTTCCCCTTGTGGATATGGTGCCACTTGTATAGATGAAATAAACGGATACCGATGCACTTGTCCCCCTGGAAGAATTGGTCCGAGGTGCCAAGAAGGTATTCCCATATCTGCTGTCAACCTTTACTCAAAAGCAGTAGGGTACAGTGCAGCCAGCAATACAGTTCACAGGCAATAGTCTGTGTGAGGAACAGTAGCTGGTATTTGATTTAAACTTGTATAGCTTCAGTAACTTGAAGAGGTAAAGTGTCTGTGTGCTTTTTTCTTAGTAATTGGAATTGGAAAGCCTTGCTGGCTTAAAGGAATGACCTTTCCCCACGGCAGCAGGTGGGATCAAGAATGCAACAACTGCCACTGTTTGGATGGCCGTATTGACTGCACCAAGGTAGGAGTTTTGACCTGTCTTCTTAAATCCACCTGGCTGAAACCAACTTAATGTTATTCATGACTTAGGAAAAAATAAGACTAGGCTAAATGCAGCTTGAACATGTTAGTATATGTGCTGCAAGCCTTTCAGCCCTCCTGAGATAACATTTCTGTGTGGATTTGTGGTACATGTGCAGCTTTACATCGCAGCTGGAGAGAGACAAGATCAGTGCTGCTTACAAGTTGTAGGGCTAGGTGGGTGGCTGGCTCCAGAGGAGCACTAATAGCACTTACAACATCGCCTCACACAGCACTCTCCCACGTTTCACTGGAAGCACCAGTTTAAAAACGTCTTGGTTTTATTAATCTATCTGGCTTTAATCTTACTTTGTTTAGCTAGGTGTGTGATGTAGGCAAAGAAAAAAATAAATTTTGCAGTTAATCATTTAGAAATGCTATTTTAGACCCTTAATGGTGTTGTGATTTCAAGTTTGAGATTTCTTCAGAAGATAACAGTATGTGAAGGTAACCAGAATCTTAGAAATGGTGGTGTAGTAAATGCAATTTATCCCTGTGTAGTGTTCTGTTCTTTCATTGGTAATGGAACAAAGGTGCTTTCTTGTGGATAATTGTGCTTCAAGAAATCCCTAACTTCCTAAACTAATAGCTATATAGTATTGTGAAGAATCTTAAAGGTTACATGATGAAACAGAGCTGTGTTTGGAAACTTACTGCACCTCAGTAACCTGGGTGTACCAGCATACCTTTCCTTTTGGGGGAGTGGTTGAAGCGATGGTGCTTATGGCCAATGTGCATCAGGTCTTTAATATGTTGAGCATTCTGTAACAAGGATCTCAGTATAAATACTGAAGAGAAATTGCTCCTTGTGGAGTTGTTTCTCTGTCCAGTTTATAGAAGCCTGGATGACTAGTTTAAAATAAATGCTTGAAATCCTGTATAATTCAGTTATGTGGGGCAAATCTGTAAGCCTCTGAAGAGATGTGCCTAGTCACTGGTGTCTCAGGTAATCTTTGCACAGTTCTTACTCTTTTATCCATACAAAATGTCCTCATTTTGGGGAACAGCATCTCCATCTTCTACTAGGACTCCAGTAGGATTGAAATAGGGTGTGGTTTTTTTTTTTTTGCAGGCAGTAGTAGATCATGACTATCTTGTGTGAATTGTTTATTTTGATTTGATGCATAAGAGCAATTAACTGTAACAGTACTTTGTTCTTTTTAATTTCTAGGTGTGGTGTGGGAAAAAACCTTGTCTGTTACACAAACACTGGGATAATTCAAATAACCAGTGTCCCATGGGTCAGGAAAAAAAATGTTTTCAGCCACCATGCATGGACTGGGGAGAATGCAGTGCCTCTGAACCCCTGCCTGCCAACATCAAGTGTCTGCCTAATTCTGGGTACTTGGACAATGACTGTGCTAGAATTACTTTAATTTTCAATGGAGACAAAGTCCCCCAGGTGAGAATGGAATTATTAATGAAGTATGGCAGCATGTGTAGGGATATATTCATTGTCAAAGCATGGAAGATTAATGTTTCTAATATGATTCCTTGCTGTCATAATCATACAAAAATTATTATTATACTCCTCTGCTATTAATTGCCCTTTGTCTAAAGGGTGAGGCAAAATTAAGATTTGTACTGAATGTTTTCTTTTTTTTAATTCTCAACTACTTTCTTCCATTTCATGATGGGATCAGACTGTACTAGGATAGTCATAGAAGCTCAGTTTCTCTCTCTTCATTCCAAAACCCTGTTCTTTATTTATTTTTTTTAACCTTTCTTGCTGCCCTCTCTGCTACCTTCATCAGATCTCAGGATTTGCAAAAAACCTCTGAAGATGTTTATTTTTAATGTACTTTTTGTCACTTGAACTAAAGTCATACATTCTCCCTTGCTTCTAACAGGGCACTACAACTGAAAATATCTGTTCTGAAATCCGGTATTTACCGGCTAGTAGGACTGTTTCTAGGGACAGAACTCTGATAATATTGTGTGATCTGTCTTACTCCACAGAGAATGCAGTGGAAGTTGCTATTGTAAGTATGAGACATATTAATATCTGTAGGAAAATGTTTCCTTACTAGTTGGAGCTGAGGAAGAGGTTGTTTAAGCTTGTTTTGTTTCAGCACAGGTACTGCATGCAGTCTGTGGCTTAGTCTGACTGCAGAGCAACTTTGTGATCTCCAATTTCCTATAATGCTAGATAGCTGAAACTGCAGGTTTCATTCATGAGTGAAGGCTACCACAACCTCATGATAAATTACTGTAATTCAGCCCAAATTAGTGGACAGGTGCCTACCTGTTCTGTCAGAAATCTTGGGCTATTGACCCTTCATATTGCAGTATGAAGATACACTTGCTGGTGGCTTCCAAGGAGGGGTTAATTTCATAGTAAAGTGTTTACCCAGGCAGAAGCTCAACTGTCTCTACCAGTACTGTAAAGAACATGCTGAGCCATGGTGCAGGAAGCAAAGCGTATGGTATAAATAGAGCAGACTGTTATTAGTCCAAGCTTCTATCTAGATAATCCACATGTCTTGAAGTACTCCAAACTGTGACTAAGTTTAGCTCAGCAGTGTAACTAACATGGAAGTCAGCTGCCTTTTATTGGCAATGCTAGATTAGCAAGTAGGCGTGTTACCCACCAAATCTGACACTATGTCTGCAGTTTGGGTAGGGCTAGCCATGCTGTTGCTACAGTAGATTTCTAGGGTACTGTTTGTAACTACTGTCAGGTAAATGGAACTCAGTGACCTCAGTTAAGGATATAGCTGGATTTAAAAAGTTGATTTCCATGGTTGGGTGACTCTAATTTTGTTTTTCCTCTGCACTCCCCTTAGTCTTTTGTCCCGCATCGAGATGAACAAGATAATAGTCTTATACAGAATGCTGCTAATACTATAGTAAATGCAATCACTAAGCGACAAAACAGCACTGTAATGTTGGCAGTAACTGAAGTCAAAGTAGAGACCATCGTTGTTGGGAATTCATCATCAGGTAAGGTTCTCAGTGCAGACATTCTCTGTGTGTGCAAATGTTTTGTTTCCCTACTTGTCTGTCTTTACATGTTGGGGAAATAGATTGTTTCTTTAATTGCTGTAACTAACTGAAGAGAAAGTGACTTTTAAAATCAAGGTTCTGTGCTTCTGAGCTAGTTTAAACCTAACCTCACCCCTAGCATAATATCCTTACCTACTGTTGCCAGTGTTTTGACTGACTTCCAACCCTCTTCTCTTGTCTAAGCATACCGTTCACAAGATCAGGAGTTCTCATGTGCTGTTCAAATCCTTTCTGAATATACTATGTTAACCTTAACCTGACCTCAGCCCTCTGCTGCTGCACTATAGAAACTGAGGCTGTGACGTAACGAAAATATGGGGAGGGGGAAGACACACAGTGTGATATAGAGTCCCTTCTGAAGTGCTTGTACATTATTTATCTTAAGAGTTAAAGATTTCTAGTGTCTTTTAATACTTGGCTGTAAGAATGTTAAACTTTGCTCTCTCAACGTGTTTCTCACTAGTGTATGGCTGGCTTAAAATGTAATGTTTCATTCCTCTTAATGAGGATATGGTGTGAATGGAGAGACCTTTATCTCTGAACATTGGCTCTTCAAGAGCTATGCCAAAATAAGCAGTTTTTGCATACCTTTGTTCCTGCCTGGGGAGGCAGGAAACTGCCTTGTGGAAGGCCTCTGGAAGGCTCCAGTTCAACTAAGCCCCAGAATGGAAGTCTTAGAATGGTACGAGGCTCTCCCAACCCTTTCTTGGACCTTTCCAACATTCTGGAAGTTCTTCCACCCAGAGTCCAAGCAATTAGTAAATTGTCTGGTTCCACTTCCCTTGCATTTCCCTCCTAGGGAATGTCTTTCATCTGTTAAGGCCTTGGCAAATGTACCACGTCCTCAGCTCCCCCGAAGGTGTGTGCCAGCTCTGTTCCTGTCTTGAACAGAAATTGCAAAGATGCTGATGTACCTCAGCCTCCCTCTGCTGATCGTCCAAATGTTACATACATTTTCAGGGATGGTTTCCTAGGGAAATGATCTGGGTCTGTGTGGCTGGAAGAGCACTGGAGGGATTTGTGATTGGGAATGCGGAGAAAAGCAATTACCTAACTCCTTTTGTTCGTTCATTGAGCAGTGACAACTCTGCTTTAGTGACAATATCCTGGTGTTTTTCTCTGAAGTAAGACTGGAACATTGTAAAGAGTGTGTGATTGATTTGGTTACGTAGCTCTAACCTGAATGTCTTTTTGAGATAGTTGGTACATAAATGTCTGGACTTTTATGGCAAAGGACTCTTATTTGACAGTAAATACAGGACATATTTCTGATGCAAGTGCCAGTACTTCTAGAGCAACTTGGATGCAGGGTACTCTTCATAGCCTTTCTATCTATAGGGTAGATTGTTTTTTCTAGAGTCATGACTGAGGTTTTCTAAGCCAGCTTAGCTTTTAGATGCTTGAGAAAGAAGCTGCTTGTGTAACTGGTCTGTCTGTTGAAGGGGAAAAAAATCTCAAATGTAGCATTTCCCCCTTCATCATTAAGCAGTGAAAATGCTGACTTAGTTTAAACTGTTAAAGAGCATTTCTGGGTGGACCAGTGCATTCAGGCACTTATTGTGCTGTAATGACGTCTTACGTCCTTTCTCCTAAAAAACGTCTCGAGGGCTAACCTGTAGTTATGTGTGGATGCACTCCCTGCAGATGTCCAGTGCTATGTAACTGTTAAACCTTTTGTTTTTATTTGCCCTCTAGATTACTTGGTTCCAATTCTTTGTGTGGTATTTAGCATTGTGTGGCTGACTTGTATCATCATCTGTGTGTGGTGGACTCGGAAGAGAAGAAAAGAGAGAGAGCGAAGCCGTCCTCCCAGAGAAGAGGGTGCCAATAACCAGTGGGCGCCTTTAAATCCCATAAGAAATCCTATAGACAGATCTTACAGTAACAAAGACATTCGTTATGAATGCAAAAACTTCATATCTCCTCAAAAAAGAACTTGTGATGCAGTAGAGGAGTATGTAGAGTATGAGGAAGAGGAGGATGAAGAGGAGGAAAGAGATGAGGAAATGGACAAATTCCTTTCTCACAAACGCGCAAAGCCTTTGCCAGCAAAGGCCCCTGACACATCAGAGAGCAGTCCGGTAAAGAAATCCCATCAAATAGGCAAAATGGACAACAGATCTGTAAAAAATGTGAATGCATCAAACTTTGAAGGCAGTAGAGACTAACCTGTGTGTAGAACGTAGGCAGACTGCGCCTGCGCTTACTGGGGAGGGGGAAAACTGGTATCTCCACTTTCCATCAAGGACTAAAAGTATCTGGAGTTAAATGTTCATAGTTTCTTTATTTTGCGTAAAAAAAAAAAATAAAAATAATAAATAAAATTTATTTTGTTTCTTTAGCCTTGTATAAATTATTCAATGACTGTCAGATGAAAAAAATGAGTAATCTTTGATAGTTGCTATTTTTGTAAAGTTTACTTATAATACACTCGCTGTGTGGCAGAGGAGAGGTTGTATTTTCAATATGTGTAAAGTTTATTACAAAAGACTGTACACTGTTTACAGAATGTATTTCTTTTTATTACTTGCTCTAATTTAATGGTGGCTTTAAAACCTCCTGGTTGAGGAAATTATGTGAACTTTAAACTGCTTTCTTGACTTTGAATCTCTATTAATGGCAGCTCACTGCACTTGTTACGTTAGTAGCTTCTGTAAGATTCTGTTTTTCCAAATTTGCCTTACACACTTTGTAATAGGAACAAAAAAATAAGAGATCTTTCAACTGTGGTTTAAAAGTGGCCTTTTGATTTCTGTTTAATTCCTTTAGAATTGCAGTATTGAAGCATGTGACAAGTGCCTTGAGATTAAACTTTTTCTATAGCAACTGTCAAAGACTGCCATATCAATATAGAAAAATTGTGAGAACTCTAGGTTCCCCAACTGACACAGTTTATTTTCTAATAGTGAAAGTGCTTTTTTGTAAATATGTACATATTAAATGAATCACTCTGTATATTTGATTTAATAACTTAAATATTTTGGTCTTTTTTTACATGTCATTCCTTTTAATTTATGTTGCAGAAAAGGAGGTTTTATGGCAGTTTATAAGACTTTTTTTTGGTATTATGTCCAGATTAGAAAATGTTAATACAATCAATGTTAGGAATCTGTTGGTCATTTGTATTTACATAGGAACATAACCACTTAGGTGTAAATAGACCCAGAAACGTTTGTTTATCCCCATGTTCAGCCCATCTCAAGAACACTAACGGGTGCATCTACTGTACAGTACCAACGTAGCGAGGCATTGGTTTTTCCTTTTGTGAATGTTAATTACATGTGGTATTACTTTTTTTTTTGCGTTTAAATACAGGCCTAATGAAGGGAACAATATTTTCCTCAATCTTGATTCTGTTGTGCTTTATTCATCTTTTGCTCTAAAGGGAAAAGGCTGGCAAGCTCAGAAGATGGGAGTACCTCATTAGAAATGGTTCTTTGCAATGGAAGGCTTATGCCTTTTTTTTTTTTTAAGGCTTTATTATTGCTATTAACTGGGCAATCTGTAAGCTTATTTTAATTACTGAAGTGTAACACTACGTACACCTAGTTACCCTACCAGTGAGAGGAGCGGATGTTTGAGAGTATAAATTCTGACCCACAAACAATGTAAACGTGAATGTTTTGAAACCAATTATTTTATACAGGAACACAGGATTTGCTTTGCAGGATCTTCTGTTTTAGTACATTTTTGTTTGACATGTTCTTAAAAAAAAAGAAAACTTTCAGAAAAGAAACTATTTATTAAAGCATTTTATAATGTTTGTTGTAACTTTTTTACTTGTGCTAAATACTCAAGACTTATTTTGATAACCTGGTTAGGAGTTAGTTTAGAAAAAGGGTACTATCCTTCTCATGTTCCCCAGTATAATCCTGAGTATTTAAACCAAAAACACTTTTTTTCTGCTACTCTTGTAACTTTTTGTACTGTAATGCTGCTGTCTTCCATAATCTAATAAAATGATTCCCTCATTGTGTGTAAGATACTTCAGATTGTGTTTGCTTTCAAAGTGCTTGGAGTTGTGACGAGGCTAAAGGAAGGAGTGCGAGTCCGGATTTAACGCAGGGAACTTCCCGTAGCCTGAGCTCGCAGCCTGCTCCAAGTGCCCGTGCGGCCTGGACATGCTGGGGTTCCTGTGCCCGGACTCTCCCGCGCTGCCTCTTTGCAAGCACAAAGGCTGGTCTTTGAGCTGCTGGCTGTGTGGATGATGTGCCTGTTTGAATGGGCTCTCCTCCCAGCTGGGGAGCAGAGGTTTGTCCAAGTGGTGTCGGTGTGCTTCCTTGGGTGATGAGGGCTGGTGAGCATGCAGGAGCTTGAGGTGTTCTTCTGACAAGTTGGATTTTTAAGTGCAATACCTTCCTCCGCTACCCTGCAGCCATTCTGACCCTTTACTTGTCATGTTCCATTCAGTTCAGTAGTTCTGTGCCTGTTTCTTGCAGTGACTTGCGTGGCTTTTCTGTAGAGTTTTCTGTAGTGAAAGGTGAACTCTTAGATAAAATAATATGGAATATAAAAGTGAAATTTTCCTACTAGCTATCGATCTCCAAAGCAGAATTCTAGATCCTAGCAGAGTTTTTCTTATTCCAGTCCTCATCCAGTTACTTTATTTTCCTTGTAGTATTGTCTTTGTGTTGATAAGTGGGAGCTGTTTCTGGCTTCTCAAAATCAGATTCTGTTGTTATCTTTGATTTCCACTTTTCAAATGTCTCCTGCCCTTGATGACAGGCATCTGGGGGAGGGGAAATATAAACCAACACTTTAATGATGACTTTCTAAAATTGATTACATTGTGCCTTGGGAAAACTCGGGCTGCCCTTAGCTCCTCAGAAACAGTGGGAGCAATGCTATAACCATCCAGGACAGCGCCAGGCTAGAAAAATGTCTTTAAGATGCACAGTCCTCAGACTGCAGTACTTGTGAGTACCTGCTGCAGAGAGCTGTTTCTGATAGTCCCAGTGTACTTAAAATAGCTGAGTGCTCCTTGTTGGAGGTTTTACATGAATACAAATAAATGTAGTGGGTGTTGCTGCTGTAGGCAAAAGGAGAAATAATAGTTTTGCATATCTATGAGACAGCAGCGAGCCAGCTTACTGCTGCTGAAGGTGCTAGCTCTGCTGCTTTCGTGTTACTGAAACAGTAGATAAAGCATATAAACGTGTATACAGCGATGGGGCACAACAGTGGCCATCACCCAGTGTTCTGAACAAAGAGTCAGTATTCCCTGATGGCTGAGGCCGTCTCCAGGACTTGTTCCCATGTGGATTCACAAAACCAGCACGGGCAAGTGTTCAACTCGATAGTGTTGTCTGCCTGCCAAAACCAAGAGTCATTTAATGCTACCTTCGTGTGATGACCAAGGGCGAGTTGTGTAACTTGATATATGTGAAACAACGTGAATAAGAGAATGAACAAAAAGCAAATTTACACAGTTTAACCTTGGTCTGTTTTATACAGATTTTATTTCCATGCTGCTCTTAATTGCAAGTCATCTCCACATCACCTTATTCACATTAAATGTTGAACTCGTAGAGCTCAACTTCTTGCTGGTGTGCGTGTGCTAAGCATTGTGTGTCTTAATTGAAAGTCATCTCCACATCACCTTACTCTGCAGTAGTTTTATTTCCTTTTGACTTACATTAAATGTTGAACTCGTAGAGCTCAACTTCTTGCTGGTGTGCGTGTGCTAAGCATTGTGTGAATTCCAGAATCGGAGCTGTTACAAGAACTGCATAATGAGGAAGATCAATAAATGGGCTCTTCCTTGAGATTTTTTTTCTAAGCAGTGAGTAGTTCCAGGTTACTTTTTCTTCTCTGATGCTCTGTAAGATCTGATGCTGACCTGAACCACTCGGTGAGCTCGATTCTTTTGGCCATTTGCTGTCATCTGGTTGGTTCTCCTCCAGACCACGTAAGTAGTCCTCTGGAGGTCAAACTGTGCTTGGGTGGCGAGTTAGTTCATATAGCAAAAGAACTCACTGCTGCCCCGTGCTTTTTCAAGGACAACCTAAAAGTTGAAAGACATTTCATTCACTGCCTTGAAAGCTGCAGAGGACACTGGCTGCAACAGTAGTTGTGAGGTGGCCTGGATAATAATGGGATTTGGGTGGCATAGAGTTGATTTGCACAGAAATTTGGGTTGGTTCAATTCAGTTGTGTATGGTATCTCTATTGTTGCTCTTGAGTGCTGCTGGGCTCTCATGGTCCTTTGGATGCAACAGTGGATGAGCCTGAAGAAGAGATCAAGTAGCTTGTGAACCTTCCTAGGCAGTGACATCCCTTCTGTTGGGCAGTCTAGCTGTGACCTTCGGGGTGCTTAGTGTGAGCGAGGAGAGTAGAGGTTGGCTTTGCTTTATCTCCTTTCTCAACAGTAAAGTAGGTGTTTTGAGTCACTCCTGGTAGGAATCTTGCTCTGCTTTGGAAGAATAATGGCTCGTTCTCCTGCAAAGCAGTCCTGAACGAGTCTCTCTTGTCCTTATTTCATCCCAGATGGTAGAATAAAGAATGGGCTTATAAAACAGTAAAGGAACAAAAGGTCCCCTTGGGAATGAGGTAAGACTAAATCCTTCCCATGTTGTTCCCTTTTACGGCACCCATTGTAACACATGTTTCTGTACAGATATGGGGGACTTCTTGCTCTTTCTCTGTATAAAAGTGTTTTTTTTCA